CTCGATTATTTTTACTTATTTTTCTAATCCTTAGAAAGACGAGTGTGGGAAATAGAGTAAATGTATATGGAAGGCAGAGAGTAGGAACTTACATGTTCCCACTAGTGTTAAAGAGCGAGCTCTGGGGACCAGGAGTTGACGTAATGGCTATGTCGCTGGACTTCCATGTAACTGACCGCAGTTCGAGTCCCGGACCCGGTGGCTTAAACTCACGCTGGGCACGTGTGCGTGCATGCCCAAGATCCTGAGAGGAGAATGGAGGAGAAGGGATTGTGGCATGGCCTTCTCCCCTGGGGTGTGATTTCTCGCTCTCTGTCTCTCTGTCTGTCTCTGTCTCTCTGGCGAGTGCACGCACCCTGTAACAAAAACCTCTCCACAAAAAAAAGAGTGAGCTCTGAGCAGGCGTGCCCTGTGCTAGGGCAGAGGGTGGGGTAGACTCGCAAGAGGAATTCATTCAGTGGGTATGAGCTGAGCGTTGCTGTGTGCTGATCACTGTTAGTGCTGGGTATGTTAGAGGTTAAAAACAGAAAAAGAAGTCATTGCCTTTGGGTGGCCTTGTGGCCAGATCGTCAGGGGAGCTGGATCCCACATGGCCAGTCGTGTGGTTTGAATCCTGGCCCCGCTGGGAAAACACGCCTGGTGTGGGTGCCTGTGTGCCCTAAGTCCTGACAGGTTGAAGAAATGAAGGAGAAAGGATTGTGGTGTGACCAGAGCCCATTGGGAGGTGCTTTCTCTCTTCTCTCTCTTTTCTCTGTCTCTCTCTTGTGAGGGCATGTGTCTGGAAGAATTTCTCTGGAAGAATAGAAGTGGATAAAAAAAGGCAAACGAGGAAGAAAAGCAGAACTAGTGGATGGTTAGATGTGTTTTTCTGTAGGCCAGCCAGCGACGTGGAGGTTAAGGCGCTGGATCTTACGTGGCTGACTCCGCGATTTGAGTCCGGACCTGGTGGCTTGCACATCACATGGGATGCGTGTGCCTGTGTGCCCAAAGTCCTGAGAGGAGAGTGGAGGAGAAGGGATTGCCCAGTGGCCGTCCCCTGGGGAAGGGATCTGTCACTTTCTCTCTCTGTCTCTGACGAGTACACATGCTTTAGAGCAAAAACAAAACAAAACATGTGTTTTGCTTGGAAAAAAGTCTGTGCTACCATCTGTTTTTATGTCAGAAGAGTTCCATTAGTTTGCATTTTCTAGATGTTTACGTGAACTTGACATATTGGGTTGTCAGAAAAGTCGTGCTGCACTTTGCATAGAAAGACAAAAAATTCAATGTGACTTTCCCCAAAACCCGATATATACGGGAGCTTCAGCAAGTTCGTAGAAAATGTATATTATGACAGATTAGGAATGGATTTCAAGTTTTTTTTTTTTTTTGCACCAAAATAAATTCATGCTCTTTGTTTTAATCGCCAGGGAGTGTGTGTGGGCACTCACACGCACGTGCCCCCGTGAGGGCCAGGATTCAAGTGAGAGTTGGCCGTGTGGGTTCTAGCTCCACTCAGCGCTGGCTTGTGGGGTGGTTCAGTAAATTCATACTTAAATTTCGTTTTTCCAGGAACTTTTAGAGTCCCTTCACACAAGGCATCCCATTTTATATATATATTCTTTTATTTCATTTAGCATCATTACTTTGCGATTCATTCATGTTGTATACATCAATATTTCATTCTTTTTTTTTGAATCAAGTATGGTTATACTCCACATTTTTAAGAAATCTATTCACCTTTTGTTTTGTATTTAGTTTTTTTGCCATCGGGTGCATGCGTTCACCAGAGACAGACAGAGAGAGGGAAAGTGAGAAATCATCCTCCCGGGGCATGCGGTCCCTTTTCTGCCATTCTCCTCTTGGGATTTTGGGCACACATGCTCACAGGCCCGGCGTGATTTTCAAGGCACTGTGTCCGGGACTTGAACCGCACTCACCATTTGGGAGTCCAGCAACTTAACCGCCATGCCACCTGCTGACTCCTCTGTTCACCCTTTGAAAGACATCTAGGGCTAACTCTGTAAGCTGTTGGTTAAGGCAACTGGATCCCACAATGCTGACTTGATAGTTCAAGTCCCAAAGTTGGAGGTGCATGAACGCACATGCCCAAAATCCTGAAAGGAGAGAGAGGTGGAAGAGAAGGGATTCCCCATAGGACTTGTTTTCTCCTCCTCCTCAGGGGGTGATGGCCACACCGCAATCCCTTTTCCTCCATTCTCTTGGGATCTTGGGCACGCACGCACACACTCCCGCTGTGAGTTTAAGCCACTGGGTCCGGGGACTCGAATCACAGTTGACTACGTGGGAGTCCAACGACATAGCCATTACGCCAACTGCTGGTCCCTAGTGTTTTAGCATTTGGTCGTTACACTGAAAGCTGCAGTGAGCATTTGTGCACAAGTCTTTATATGGACCCAGACTTTCACTTCTGTTAGGAAAGTACCTTAGAGTAGAATGGCTGGATTGTACTGTGGTTGTACATTTCATATTCTAAGAATCTCTCAAACTGTCTTCCAAAGTCGTCGTGTCAATTTAGGTTGCTACAGCTCTGTGTAAGAGTGGCGTCTAGAAGAGGATGCAAGGTAAATACCAGGAGGTGAGAATTATTAGGAGTCCCTTGGTAGCCTGGCTACCTCTGCCTCTCCCTCACGGATTGCTTAATTTCGTCTCTAAGGTCGTCCTTCCTTACCCTATCTTTTGAGGCAAAGCATACTGGTGTCTTTAAAAAAATGTTTCTCAAAAGGGAGCTACTTGCAGTGAAATACTAGTTGTCAAGGTCTAAAACTTTCCAAAATTGATATGAAATATGACCTTAAAAAATACCTTTCTCTGAAATCATACAGCCAACCAATCTTTGACAATAGGTACAAGACAAAGCAGTGGAGAAAAGTCTCGTCAGCACATGGTGCTGGAAGAACCAGACATCCACCTGCAGGGAGATGAAACTGGACCCCTACCGTTCACCGTTAATAAGAATCAACTCAAAATGGATCAAAGATTTCAGCGTAAAGCGGAAAAAAGAAAAAGACAAAAACACAAAACCATGAAGCAACCTCTTACTGTAGACTTGAGCGAGGGGAGGGCTTGTGCACTGGCTGTTCCATTGGGTTAGGGCTTCAGCCAGACATCTGGAGCTGGGGTGCCCTAGGCCCGGGCTTCACACCCTGGCACCCTTGTTGCTCCCATTTGCCCAACCCAGCCCTGTCGGTTTGGTTCCAAGCCTCCCTGCTAGCCTGAGCTTGGGACAGAGTGCACCAGCCTGGTGGCCAGGTCTCTGCGTCCTCCACAGAGCAGTAACCTAACACGCACCATCTCACATGCGTCTTCATTACCTACCAGGCATGCAATCCTCCTTCTTTGAATACCAAACTTACATTGTTAAGTTTAACAATTGTTACCAAAATTGTTAAATGTTACCAGACTTAGTAACAATCTAGCTATGAGTGAAAGAACTCATTTAGTAGCTTAGTGCTTCTTACATCATTTTAATGACATGATGATGCTCTTGAGAGGTATCGAATTAGGTAGTATAATTTACCCTTTTGCTGAGTATCTGAAGAGTGTTAGGTTGAAAGTCTCCTTTTACATCTTGATGTTGAGTTATTAACTCTCATTTTCTTTTATCCCCCCAACTAAAAAAAATACTGTGATTGGGACTAGCAGATGGTGGAATGGTTGCATTACCAGAATCCCACATGGCCGCCTGCAGTTCGAGTCCTGACCCGCAAGGCTGAAACTCATGCCGGGCGTGTGTGTGTCCTTGCCCAAAATCCCAAGAGGGGAATGGAGGAGAAGGGATTGCGGCATGGCCATCCCCAAGGCGGGTGATTTCTCGCTTTATGTCTCTGTCTCTCTTGTGAGTGCACGTGCCTTATAACAAAATCTCTCTCTTAAAAAAAAAAAAAAAAGCTGTGGGACCAGCAGTTGGCGTAATGGCTATGTCGCTGGACTCCCAGACCCTGTGACTTAAAACTCATGCCGGGCGCGTGTGTGTGTGTGTGCCCAAGATCCCGAGAGGAGAATGGAGGAGAAGGGATTGCGGTGTGGCCATTCCCCCTGGGGGATGATTTCTCGCTTTCTGTCTCTCTGTCTCTCTCTGTCTGTCTGGGGAGCCCCTTATGCAAAAACCTCTCAAAAAAAAAAAAAAACTGTGATAAAATATAAATAATAAATTTTTCAGTGTAACCATTTCACAGTGTATAGCTTAGTGATATGAAGTACATTCCTATGATTGTGCAACCTTTGCCACCCTCATCCCCAGAACTCTCTCCTTTTTGGAAAGCTGAGACCCTACGTACGAAACCGTAACTCCTCATTCCCTTTGCTTCCCAAGCCAGCAACCACCATTCTTTTTCCTGTCTCTATGTATCGTTTCCTTTTTAATCAAGGAGTTATTTTTCTTACTGATGAAAACACCTGTGTGAAAAACAAATTTATATCTCACTCTATGTCAATGTTAATGTCTTAGTAAAGAAGAAATTTGGAGCAAACATGAGAATACTGCATCAGCTTATAGTGACTTTTGTGGTTTACTTGGATATAATGTTTGTAACAATGTCATTTCAGCTTTACTTCTGTATTTGATAGTTCAACATAAATACATTTGAAGAATGGGACCAGCAGTTAGTGTAATGGCTATGTTGCTGGACTCCTATGTAGTCGACCATGGTTTGAGTCCCGGACCTGGTGGCTTAAACTCATGCCGGGCATGTGTGCGTGCGTGCCCAAGATCCCAAGAGGAGAATGGAGGAGAAGGGATTGTGGCATGGCCATCCCCCCCCCGGGGGTGATTTCTCGCTTCTTTCTCTCTGTCTCTCTCTGTCTTTCTGGCGAGCGCACGCGCCCTATTGCAAAAAAACAAACAAACAAACAAAAAAAACCAAAAAAAACTCTCCAAAAAAAGAAAAAGGATGTTTACTTTTTTTTAATATATGAAAAGAAATTTTATTATTATTTGATTACATAATCTATTAGTGAATACACCACATAGGATTTTCTTAGATGACAAATGAGGCATGTTTCTGAGTCCTCTGAGAACCTCGAAGTTATCTGTCTTGTGGAGGGTCCAGTTTCTTATGACGTCTGTGACACTGTCCGTGAGGATGCCAACGGTGCTTGGTCGTGAAGATCATTTTGCCAAGTTGTTCCATCATGGGTCCTTGTTCAAGGTGTTCACTTTTCTCTTCTAACCTGGACTTCAGCACTTGATAATGTGTTCCTTCGTTATTATGCACAGGATCTGGTCTAGGGATAGGTTCTGTGTGTTCGTATGGAATGTCCACAGATGGGTGGTAGCACACTATCATCGTCCTGCCATCAGCTGTCAAAGCAAGCTCCATGTGGCAATTACAGTCATCTTTCAGAGAAGAATACGTAGATTTATGACAAACACAATATAAAGCTCCATTTTGGCTTGGAAGGAAACGTTTCAAGATGGTTGTCTTTGATATCACACATTTTATCGCTGCTACTGCCATGATGAATCAAGAGGCTTCTTAAGTGGCACACAGAAAGTTGTTCCAAAGAGAAATTGCAATCTGCTTTTATTTTATTTTTTATTATTTTATTTTATATTTTATTATTTATTTTTTTGGAGACGTTTTCGCTATAGGGCGCATGCGCTCACCAGACAGACAGAGAGAGACAGAGAGAGACAGAAAGCGAGAAATCACCCCACCAGGGGGAATGGCCCTGCTGCAATCCCGTCTCCTCAA